TAGCCTTTAAGATATATAGACTAGAGGCCCGGTGCACCCTCTCACAATCCGGGACCCCTCAGGGGATGTTGGAGAGCCAGATTCAGTCCGATCTCCATGGACCAGGCCAAGGGACCCCACCAGTGCATGAATCTGTGCACTGGGCCTCTCGTGTCTCATAATTTCATTACCATATTTCTTTCATTTATTTTCAACTTCTTGATTTGCAAGAAGTCTGAGGATGCATATTAAAGTCACTATTAACTTTGTACATAATCTGACACTACAGACACCAAAAAAGCTTTGGGATTAATTTATGTGAAAATTGTATTGTTCTTATCACCAGTTTCTTCTTGATTCTTCTTATTAATGGGAATATCTTCAGTTTAAAAACTGAATTGGCTGTGTAGCTCTCTTACAGCAAATGAATAATAATGAGCTCCATAAACAAAGACACATTCTGGTGAAATCATTACTATGCACTTTCCCCCTTTTCCCTCCTGAACTGACAAGTGTCCTGTTCAAAGCTGTATACATCACATGACTCTAGATGCCCTGCAACACAAACTCCATATCAGAAAAATGTGATTTTCACAAATAAACCTAGATGCAGAGATTGTGGTTTAGTGTATAGATTCAGGGGCGAGTGGGGTGACCTTGGATGTGGGATACAAAACACAGCGCTGACATCAGAAAGGCTTTGTCAGAGATCCATATACTGTCACTGGCAGCAGTTGCCATAAGCAATGCCACCAGCTCACTGACAAAAGCAGGAGTTAAATGAAGTATTTGTATTTAGCAAAAATAATGCCTCACATACTAAATATTCAACCACAAAAGTAATAAACAACGTTGATGCATATGTTAGATATTTTTCTTTTAAAAGTGATGGAACCCTCTTGCACTGCTGGTGGAAATGCAGACTGGTGCAGCCACTATGGAAGACAGTATGGAGTTTCCTCAAAAAACTAAAAATGGAACTCCCATTTGACCCAGTGATCCCACTTCTAGGAATATATCCCAAGAAACCAGAAACACCAGTCAGAATGGATACATGCATCCCTATGTTCATAGCAGCACAATTCACCATAGCGAAGATCTGGAAACAGCCTAAGTGCCCATCAGCAGATGAATGGATTAGAAAACTGTGATACATGTACACAATGGAATACTGTGCTGCTGTAAAAAAGAAGGAACTCTTACCATTTGCAACAGCATGGATGGAACTGGAGAGCATTATGTTAAGTGAAATAAGCCAGTCAATGAAGGAAAAATACCACATGATCTCACTCATTTATGGATAATAAAGACCATTATAAACTGATGAACAAAAATAGATACAGAGGCAGAGCAGCATCGCAGAGACTGTCAAACTACAGAGGGAAGGCTGGGGAGGGTTGGGGGGCAGGAGGGGGGAGGGTAAGAGATCCACCGAAGGACTTGTATGCGTGCATATAAGCATAACCAATGGACACAAGAAACTGGGGAGTAGGGGAGGCCAGGGGAATGTCAAGGGGAAAAAAAGGAGACATATGTAATACTCTTTGTAATACTTTAAACAATAAAGCAAAAATTAAAAAAAAATAAAATAAAATTAACCAACACACACACACACACACACACACACACACACACACAAATAAAAGTGATGGAAAATCTAATTTATGCGTAAAAAAATATTTTTTTTTCTGAAAGAAAAATAAAGTCAAAGTTGACTGCTTCCAGATATAGCATGAAGTCAGAACAACATCTTTATTTTATTTTAAGATCTTGGAGTAGAAATATCAATTATGAAGTGTTTGCAAGTTCCCTTAGTCTTCTTTCACACTGTCAGAGACAGCAGCTGCTATTGTTGTCCTTAACTCTTTTAGTACATTTGCAAATGGGGAACTTTTACAGCTACATCCCCTGCTGCTTTCACAGATCCCAGGGCCACTTAAAATGTAAAAAATATTCCTAAGTGTAAATGATACAGCAAGATACTGGGATCTAGAATTGGCCCATGGATGACATCTGGACTTGAGAAATGCACTATGCTAACTGTCCAATGGTAACACAAACTTATATTAGGAGGATTTTTCAAAAGTCTAAATGATTTTTCAAAAGCATGAGAACATCATTCCTACCTATGCCAAACCCCAGCCTCTTTGGGAAAAAAAAACACAATTCTCTAATGAGATTATTAGGTACTTAAGCAAGTTTCTTTGCAACACCAGGATAAACATGTATTTAGGGGTTTATTTGTGTAGGTAAAGCCAGGAAAGGTTTGGTGTTGTAAACACTCTGACAGTTCTTGATATAAAAGGCCTATAGGAGAAGTGTACAGGGCCAGTTCTTCAGGCTACATACAAATAACTATTAGACATACTTCTTAGCATAGGCAAAAATATACCTTTAAATAATAAAGGTATAATAAGATACATTGGACAATATATGCAGCAACTGGAGCTTCCTCACCTTATTTGCAACCACAAAGGCTCAGAGTCTGTAGATCACATCAGCTTCAGAAAACCTTTCCAGGTGTCAGCAGCTGTGCTATAAGTAACTGACCAGTAAATGGAGGTTTGTGTACCTGCCACAATGAAAGCCAAACTCATGAGGCAGGTGCTTGTGGAAAAGAAAAGAGGATTTATTCAAGAACCAAATGACCTGAGAGAGTGGCAGGCTCCTGTCTCAAAGAGCAATCCCTTCACCCTCTGTCTCAAAGACCATCTCCTCTTCCTGCTCAAGTCTTCTGTTCTTATATGGATAGTGAGAGGAGAGCTTTCCCCCTATCAGATTATCTTGCTGGCTCTTGGTGTACTAATGGCCCTATCCATTCATATTGCTAGCTTTTGGCAGCTCAGTGTAAGAACCTCCCCCTAACGCCATCTTGGCCAATGGGAGACACTCTCCTGGGCCCCAGATGACTGTCTGCACCCATGTAACAACTCCCCCTTTCCAAATTCTGGATCCTTGCAATCTCACAGGGTAAATGAATGAAGGTCTCATCTTCTGTGGTTTCTTCCTGTTGCCAAATGCATACTCTCACCTATGCCTGGGTCCAGGGATTCTTACTGTCTAATAAAAGAAGTGGGGGAAGAGTCAAGAATGGAGGGAAGCCTTTACAGGAGGAAGACTGTTGTTTTCTGAAGATGGCGTACGCAGTGTGTAGAGGATGGGGCTACTGAACTAGAGGAGCTGGTTAAGGGCTTCATATTGTAAGAGGCGGTGCTCCCAAAGTGAGACCTATTGTGCAGACAAACAATCAATTCTTTAGTGAGGGCTATGCCCCATAGTGTGTGTGTGGAGAAATGTAGTGAAATCAGAAACTGGGGAGACTAAAGGACCCCCATCATCTAATCTTGAGCATGGCTCTGGGTGTCACTCTCAATAGCAGGATAAGTTTGCTAAGGAGGTCCCTGTCTGGAAAATGCAGAATAGAATGAAAAGTCACGTTGTCACTTAGCTTTGGGAGGCTGTCCCTATCCAAAGAGGAATTTTAAAAGTCTTTCAGGAGTGAAGGTCCAGCTTTCCCTTGCAGTATCAGCAGCTTCAGCAAGATCTGAATCCTCCTCAGGTGGCACCCACTTCATCTGTGTGTGGTGGATCCAAGGAGTGAGTCCCGTGAGCTTTAGGAAAGAGTGTATTGTCAGCAGGACATCATAGGGACTGGCCTATTGCTCAGCTAACTGCTGCTCAGGACCTTGAGTCTTCCAGGTCTTTAGTAAGATTCGGTCTCCCAGCTAGAATGTGTGTAAGGGCCTGTCAGACAGGTAGATGGACCTGCAATGAGCAAACTTGTGCAAAATTGTCAGTTTTTGCCCTAGGTGTTGTACATATTGTTTGATTTTTAATTTATGTTCTAAATCTAAAGAAGGTGTCCCTAACACAGGAACTGGGAAGGGTCTCCCATAAACTGTCTAAAAGGGTCTGGTGTGCTTTGGGCACTCCCCTACCTACCCCAGAGCAAAGCCATAGGGAGCATCTGGTCCCATTTCAAATGTGTTTCCTGCATATTTTCACCAGGGTCTTTCTTGTGTGGTTCATTTTCTCATTCTTCCCATAGATTGAGGCCTCCAAGATGCATGTAGTTTCTATTGAATCTGTATCTGTGTTCGTCAGCAATAGATGTGTCCTATCTTCTGGGGGGATTTTTGAAGCGAACAATGGTTTATTGTCACTTTGAATGCTATAAGGGAGTTTAAACATAGGAATTGCTTCTTCGAGTAGAAGTTTTGCTACCTCAGTTGCCTTCTTAGTTCTAGTGGATTATTCCTCTGCCCATCCAGAAAAAAAGTGTCTACAAAAACTACTAAAAATGTAAAGTTTCCTATGGTTTTAGGCATCTGTGTGAAGTCACCTTGCCAGTCTTCAAAATAGGCATATCCATTTATGTTACACTCCCTTTCCTATAGGGACACGTTCTGTTTTAGATTTGTTTCTGGTGCCTATCTGACAGGCTTGGATAACGTTCTGAATGGTCCTGTGTAAATGAGGGCCCTTCAAATGATGCCTAATGAGGTCCACTAAAGCATCGTTTCCATAATGGGTCCATTCATGTAGGTGTTTGAGGATGGGATATACTGGAGTCTCAGGGAATGAGAACATACCATGATTGTTGATTTTCCATATAGAATTCGGGTCAGTGCTAGAGAATCCCCATGAATAGCTCTTTCCTCATCTCATTCTGTGTAATAGAGTTTAAATTCTGACAAGGTCAGGTGGGGAATTAAAGCCCAAACAAGTGGTGGACCTCAGGAGGCTGGTCTTGGGGTTTTTATCAGCAGTTTGGTTTCCCAGGTAGAAAACACTTCAAGAAGAATTAATGCCAATCATTCTAAAATTCTCCCAAAACTTCAACAATCAGGGAATGCTTTCAAATATACTTTATGAGACCAGAATTGCTGTATACGAAAACCAGACAAACACACTATAAGGTTGAAAACTCAAGCCTGATATTGCTGACGAACACAGATACAGAAATTCTCAACAAAAATATTAGCACAATAAAGTCAATATTTAAAAGATCAGACACCATAATCAATAAAATTTATTGCACAAGTGTAAGGATGGCTCAATATTCACAAATCAATCATGTTAAGAAAATGAAGGACAAATACATGATCATTTCAATAGATGAAGGAAAAGCATTTGACAATATTCAATATGCATTCATGATAAAGACTTTGAACTAACTGGGTATAGAGGAAAACTACCTCAACATGTTGGAGGCCACATATGACATCATTGTCAACAGTAAGGAATTGAAAGCTTTTTCTCTAAGATCAGAAACACAGTGATGCCCACTTTTATTCATCATGGTTCTGGAAGCCTTAGCCAGAGCAATTAGGCAAGAAAAAGCAATAGGAGTAATTTTAAATCAGTCTGTGTACCATAGCTTCATCTTGAGAATGAACCAGTAAGATAGAAAAAAATAATTGTGGCTGCTGGGAGAATTGTGATCATCTTTGGGGCCCAATGTCATCATTACTCAGGGAAGGGTAGGCCTATGAAGCACATAGTCACTTCTCCTCCACATGGACGATGCTCCAGGGCCCTGAGCCAGAGGACCAAAGTCTGAAAAGTGGTCTTAGAACACCATAGAATGTGTTCTTGGGAAAGCTGAAAATATAGGATCCAACTGTCATGTTACAGAGGATACTTCTCCAGACTCATAATCCAGGAATATCCCCACACTAAGGGGTCTTTCTTTTAGAGTAAGACGAGTTTCTGGGGAGGTGAGAGCCCAGTATTCCCCGTCATAGAACCTGATGGCCCAGAAACCATTCCCTGGGGACATTGTGACCCTCCCCTTCTTTTTTACATTATCCCACAAATTCACAGGTCCCAGGACTGCATGTGCCCAACCTCTACCTCCCAGTGGCATTTCCCTGAGCTGATGTCCTGCTGACCCAGCACACAGGGAAGGGAGTCAAATCTCTGCAAGGAACTGGGTAGATCCTGACAAGTCTCTTGCCAGGTTACTCGCTTCCCATCTTCAGAACGGAGGAGGGCAGGATGGGCAGTGGCTGCATTCAGAGTCACATTTACTGCAAAGACAAATGAACCATCATATTTCCTGGAAAATTCTGTTGCCTGGGCCCAAGGGTCCCCATCCTGTGAGGGCTTCTCTGGTTCCGGGCAGACCCAGCGCTCCTCCACTCATCCTCCCCTGACAGTGCCTCCAAAGGAGCAGGGTCCCTCTGTACCACCACACACTCACCAGCTTTCGGTTCTTCTTTCATCCAAACTGCAAGAAACATATCAACATGAAAACCCACCACCTGAAAGATAAAGCTCCTGTCCTCCCAGAATATCTGAGTATGAATTCCGAAGCATTAATTCAGGAATGAAAGCAGCAATGGAAATATTTGTTCATGTACTTGCACCTCTTTTCACAGCCCGCTGAGTTATATCTGACTTGAAGAACTGACTCATCCTTATGTTCTTCATCTGACTTTTGTATCTGGTAAGTGTCTTTAACCTATTTAGAATATTGGAAAGAAATAAAGAATCTACCTGTATAGCCAAATACATGTTTTTGCTATGGTTTCCTCATCCTTTATCTATCAAAGCATACTGTGAGATACAATATATTTAAAAAGCTGTTATTTGTCTTTCTCTTACTGGATTATTTCACTTAGCATAATAATCTCTAGGTCCATCCATGCTGTAGAAAAACGTAGAGGTTTTATTTTTTACTGCTGTGCAGTATTCCAGAAATACAATATGATTTCACTTATATATGGCATCTAATGAACAAAATAAACTATCAAACAAAATAAAAATAGAGGCATGGATACATGGAATACTGACAGTTCTCAGCATGGAAGGGGGGGAATGGATGAAAGGAGGTAAAGGGATTAATTAAAGAACATTATGCAGAACCCACAGACACAGACAACAGTGTGGTGATGGCCAGAAGGAAGGGGGAGTGGGGCTGAGTGGAGATGAGCAATGAGAGGGGGAATGGGACATCTGTAATAGTGTCACCAATAAAAGTAAAGTTAAATAAAACCACTAAAATTTAATATTCCAAACATGTTATTATCTGTTAAAATATTGAGTAATCTATTGATTTCATAAAATGTACGTTTTGTAGTTTCTTTGATTTTCAATATATTTTATTGCACACTCTTCAATGTGTTAACACTCTACAGTGTTAAGATATATTTGATAATAGCATTATTTTTCAACAGTGTCCATGGCACTCACCAGCATATGATTTAGTCCCAGCTGCAAAAGAACAAAAGAGAAAATCATTTTTTTTCTTTTCTTTTGTGTTTTCTCTCATTGTCTCTTCCATTTATGTCTGTTTTTGTCATATTTCTTCTTTTGAATCATTTGGACCTTCTCTTTCTCTACTATATTCTCATATTCCATTTTTTCAAACATGATGATAAAACTTAGGTGAGGATAGCTAGAAATAGGAAAGCAACTAAAGGTGGGAGGGGAGGAGGACAAGTGGAAGAAGTGTGGCTAAAATAAAGACAGGAAGGAAGCAGGAGATGGGGAAGAACTTGTGGCTTGAACTTTAGAGAAAATTATTGAAGTTTAGAAAGATAGTGCTTTAAATGCTTTTTTTCTGACTAAAGTATATTTTATTGTATTACTGTACCCTATTCTACTACTATAGGGTAGAATCAAACAAAGACAGAAGATTGAAAGCTTTGAGAGATAAGCATAACTCAATTGAGCCTTCCTCCCATCACCCAATTGCAGGAGCAAGATTAATTAAGATCAGAAATAACATCATGAGAGAAAGTAGATATGGCTTCCTGTGCTATAAATAATACCAATCATTTGTCTTTCATTGAAGCTTGTACCTTTTTTCATAATAAAATGCAAGCACACTCACATGCACAAGACAGATATTTTTTAAGGTAATGAGGAGAATACAGTACAAGCGTTTTCTGACCAAAACTGCATCTGTAGCACTCACTAGTCATATGAATCCTGCCACACACATTAAAGAGATATATTCCCAAATACCATTCAATCTGAAAACAAAATAAAATATTATTAGAAAAGATGAATATTATATTTTCAGAAACATCTTAGGATGTGAGCTTCTCAAGTCATTTACAGAAAAAAAACTAAAATTTATATATATATATATATATATATATATATATATATATATATAGTGTGTGTGTGTGTGTGAAAAAATTCTTCTATATTCATAAAGTATTTGCATTTTGTAGAATTATCTACTATGCCAGTGGTCGGCAAACTGCGGCTCACAAGCCACATGCAGCTCTTTGGCCCCTTGAGTGTGGCTCTTCCACAAAATACCACGTGCGGGCGCGCACGTACAGTGCGATTGAAACTTTGTGGCCCATGCGCAGAAGTCGGTTTTTGGCCTGGGTGAGTCTATTTTGAAGAAGTACTGTTGATATTTGGCTCTGTTGACTAATGAGTTTGCCGACCACTGTACTATGCCAATAAAATGCATAAATATAAAGAATAAACCCTATGGTGGGTAGAAAATAGCCCCAGGAAATTTTGTGTAAAATATTTGTATTCTTGTGAACCCTTAGGTAATATGATTAAGGGCATTGGATGACTGAGCCTCATTTTACATTTGACCAAAGAATGACATCAGAATTTACACATTTCTGATAGGACAGTGGATGGAGGAACTTAGCAAGTTTGCTGACTACTGCCATCTCCGAAGGTTTGGGGAAGTATCAATTACATAGAAATAGGCTCTAATACATGGCAGACATACAGCGAGAGAGAGAGAGAGAGAGAGAGAGAGAGAGAGAGAGAGAGAGAGAGAGAGGAAGAGAGAGAGAAAGAGAGAGAAGGAGGGAGGGATAGAGAGAGAGATTAGAAACTTTGAGTACATCAATCTAAAGCTCTTATAAACTAATGCTTATAAGGGAGAAGTGAACAATATGGAATGAAAAACAAAGAAATAGCAAAGAATGGAACATAAATGGAGAGAACTTAATATAGGAGAAGTCCATACATAAAAGTAGTTAAAAAGGAGAAAATTTATTAAATCAAGAAAAACAACTTAGTAATATTAGTATGGTGACTCCCTTTAAAATGTTCTTAATCCCTTAATACTTGATATTATTTAAAGTTTTATTATTTGACTAAAGGCCCAGTGCACTAAATTCATGCACTGGGGTGGGAGGTAGAATCCCTCAGCCCAGCCTGCACCTTCTCGCAGCCCAGGAGCCCTCGGGGATGTCCGACTGCCAGCATTAAACCTCTTCCCCCTGGTGGTCAGTGCGCATCATAGCAATCGGTTGTTCTGGTTGTTCCACCATAACGGTAACTTTTGCTTTTATTATATAGATTAGTCAGTTCTTATTATTGCAGTAGCTATGTGGTATAAAGTTGCTTAAAGCACTGAATTAGAGAACACTGAACCACTGCTCCTAAGCAAATGTGGGGTTAGTTTCCAGACACATCTAATCACAATATTTTTGTCTATCTGTGAACAAAACCTACCTGTATTTGCATTTCTATTTTAATTTATGCCTAAATGAGCTCATGTAAAGAAAATCACTTGAAAGAAAAAGAATTGAGGTACTGACAGTGGAAGATTTAAAAATCAAACAACCTGTCTTTGTTGGAAAAAATTCATACATCAGAAATATTAAATGTACAAAACTTATGCAGTAAGTTGTTAATAAAATTATATTGACAGATGGATCTGTCCACATTGATTGCAACAGTAGGAGAAATCAGAGGTAGTATGGGAGAAACTGAATGACAAATGATGAGGCAAACTTCATCTGAGAAGATAACAAAGCAAAATGATAAAAATGTATATGTTAATTAAAAACATGATCATTGAGAGTAGAAGGCAAAAATAAAGAAAAAAATGAAAGAATGAAATACACAGTGAAATGTGTTAATTGGACTTGCCTTTTTGTTGTCCATTCTTACCTGAAAAATAAAAGAAAGAACCAGTTCATTAAGAATGAGAGCACAATGTTAGGAAGGAGAATAAAAATTTGAAACCCTTTTATAGTTTGCTCCATGGTATAAATTGATCTATATCTCTGATTCATCAAACAGAGACAAAACTCTTTTACTTTCTCACACCTCTTGGTGCAAAAGGAATTAACACAATAATACAAGATAGCACAATGGGAGGAGATAAACTTGAGCATCTTCTGAGATAAACTGAATCAATCATTTGTGTTTCATTGGGCTTTCCTTTTTTTTAAATAAAGTGCAAACACTCTCACATATATGAGATAGATACTTAAAAAGCATATTTTTAATACTTTTTGTGCTTGTTTTTAAATGTTTTTTGGCTGCTACTAAATTTATGTATACATTAAAACACCCATCTGTCCATGACCATTTCTGTAGCTATTGTCATATGAATCCTTCGTTGTAGATTAAAGAGATATATTACTAAATTTCATTCCTTTTTGAAAAAAATTTATAATTAAAAAATATCAGTAGGAAGAGAAGGATGCTAAACCTTTAATGATTATATTAATGTTGTATGAAAAAAATATTTTAGATATATCTTAGGGTAACTTTTCATGCTATGAAATTAAAACTTTGTAATTGAGATATACTATTAATGACATTTTATTAAGTTATAATGACTTTCTACAAACATAAAATAATTTCATTTTGAAAAACTAATGATTTTGTCAATGGAAATTAAAAAAAAAAGTAAAAGCACAATGGCGGGAAAGAAAAAGGAAGAAACCTGTAAAATTATGCAAAATATTTGTATACTGCCAAAAACTTGGGTTATATAATCAAAGGCAATGGAACAGTGATCCTTGAGTTCACTCTCCAGCAATGAATGACTTCTGAATTTACATGTTATTTGACAGAACAATGAAAGTTTGGAGTCTTCTCCCATTTAATAAAATTTGGGGAATTATTGATAGTATAGTAATGGCCCTGTCAACTTGAATACTTAAAAAGGTCCCAACTTAAAGGACATTTTCTAGAAATATATGAATGGTAACCATGTGCCTATTTTCCTAAGCTCCTTCATCTGACAATATTCATCATGTAACTATGACAAGTCCTTGGAAGACAGATGAAGACAATATTGTAGGGAAAGAAAGGTATGGAACCAAGTAGGGTGCAATGATAATGATGGAAGATAACAAAATAGAAATGGAGATAAGTTAATAAGAAACATGTTAATATCCAAAAATGGAGGTTGGAAAATTGTACATCCAGGAGAAGGGGAGCCAACATATAGAGAAAAAGACAGGGAATGGCAAATATACCAAGAAATAAGTCAAAGAGTTTTTGGATATAGGGTTGTCAGAAAAATATATGAAATGATTTCTTAAGATCATCTGGCAAATAAAATAAAAATATCTGTGTAGCAAAGATGGTGCTGCTCAGTGGTTGAGCATCAACCTATGAACCGGGAGGCCACAATTTGATTCCCTATAAGAGCACATGCCCCAGTTTCAGGCTCAATCCCCAGTAGGCGACATGCAGGAGGCAAATCAATGATTCTCTCTCTCTGATGTTTCTATCTACCTCTCTATCCCTCTACCTACCTCTCCAAAATAAATAAAAATAAAATAAATATTTGAGTAAACACTGTGGAAAACAAGCATAAAGAATATTGGTTCTTTGAAAAAATTGAACATAATATTAAACATATTGGAATGTAGATAAACATATACACATGTATGCATCATGCACACAAAATAAAGATACCAACAGTGGCAGATGGCTACTCTCTTTTATTTAGAGAATATTCTACCAAAAAAAAGTTTAAATGAGTTAATTTACTAAATTGAGAAAAAAATATTAGGAATAGTAATCCTGGTACTTACCTTTTCAAAATGTACCTGGCTGCTTTAAATATTACTTAGATTTTTATTACCCAGTGTGCTTGCTTTAATATGGTTTTTGGCTGCTACTAAATTTATGTACTCAATTCTCATTTTTGCTATAGCTCTGTTGTATAACATAGCCCCAAACACCAAAACAGAATCTTGAGGCATTTCTGCTTGAGAAAATACAGTTAGGTTCCTGAGTGCCCTTATTCAAAACAATTTCTTTTCTTAATCTATGAATACAGAACCTTGTTTTATGTCGGTTTCTATTTCAATTCATGCCCAAATGAAGCTCATCTTCATTAAATCTCAGGAAAGGAAAGATATAAAGTAGTAAATATAAGTAAAGCGAGTTCTAAGTCCAATGAACTAGGCATTTGTTGGACTAAATGTTCACACCAGTCACTGAAAATGCCAATGACTCAGAGGTATATGTTAATAAAATGTACCTGGCAGAAAGCTGCATTCTTATAGATTGAAGAGACAGCACAATTCAAATCACGACTAATGGGTAGAATTTTTAAAAAATGACAACATTCAGTTAGAAGATAAGACAAAGTCATGTAAAATATGCATATGTTGGACTTGAGGAAGATGATCATTGACAGTTGAAGGCAAAGGAACAATTAACAGATGAAACCAAGAAGAGGTACACAGGAAAATACATTAATGGAACTTATACTTTTCCTGCAAACTTATCAATAAAATAAAAGGAAAAAGACCCTAATCTATTTATTAAAACTGAGGGCAGAATGTCAGGAAGGGAGAAGGACAAAAATGGAAACACTTCCATAGTCTCCTTTGTGGTTCAAACTGACCCCCATGTCTGATAATTAGAAGCCTAAGCTCCAGAAGCCTTCTCATTGGAGGAAATGTTTTGCTTCCATCCATCTCTCAATGACAAAGGAACTAACAGTAGAAGTGATACCATAAGAAGAGGAAGTGAGGATTTTCTCTGTGTAAACAACATTCATCATTAGTCTTATATTGGGCCTTCTACATTTTTCTGAATAAATTTAAAACATACACAAGATAATTACTTAAAAACAGATGAGAAAGCAAAGAGTAAAAGCACCCATTTGTCCCAAACTGTGTTGCAGTAGTCAAATGAAGCCTGTTAAATTCATGAAAGAAAAATATTCCTAAACTCCATTCCCTCTGAAAATAAGTATACATCTGAAAAATATCAATAGGAAAATTAAAATGTTAAACTTTTAATGATTATATTGTCCCATAAAAGACTTTTCTATTATATTTTAATTTGATTGCTCCTTATAGTATTCACATAAAAATTCAGATTTGATAGGTATATTATCATTGAACTTTCTTTGTGATATACAATCCTTCCTATAAGCATTTTAAAGAGATTGAAGTTTGCATAATTAATATGTTTAATTATGAGTTTGGTAATACAAACTCAAAGAAAAAAGAACAAATTGTATGTTTAGAAAAAAAAGAGAAAAAAATTGTAAAGTATTTGTATATATGGGGTCACTTTGGAATATATACAAGAACTGTGGGAGAATGAGACTCAAGTTCATACTTTGTCAATGAATGACATCAGATTTACGAAGCCTTTCAAGAACAAAGCATGTGAATCTTCCATTGGGAAGTTTGGACTTTCTCATCTCACATATTTGAATACACAACTGATATTCTATTTTGGAAACCATGTGCTTATCACCCTAATTCCCTTCATCTCACCAAATGCTTAGTAAAATTATTGCAAGTCTCTGGAAAAAAAGAGAAAAACAACAGGGAAAAAAATGCTATAAAATGGGGGGGAGGGTGAAAAATTAGGAAAGAATGAAATGTGTAGGCAAATTAAATGGAGAGAAATTAACATGGGACAAGTTCATAACCAAAATATTGGGGTGAAAACAGTAGACTTCAAGGAAAAAAGCAGGGCAACTGATGGCAGATAGAGTAAAAGGCAAAGAATATAAAAGACACCCAGAAAGCAATCAATTTAAAGGGGTTTGGGAGTAACAAATTGTCCCCAAAATTGCCAATTTTTTCTGAGGTCTTTCTGAAAAACAAAAAGAAAAGATCAATGCAAATATTATGCCAAAGTGGCATGGAGGATATCCCAATTAAATCTATCAGGAGGCACATAAACACACAAATACATTGTACACACACACACACACACACGTATACACACACACACACACACACACACAGGCAGAGAGCTTTTTTGTCCAGAGAACATTTTGGAAAAAAAAAATTGTAAATAAGCATACTAGAAGAGAATTTACTGAACTGAGAAAACATTTAGAAACATTATCTCTGTTATTATGTTTTAAAATAATCTTATTTATTTTAACATTATTCTTTTATTGTTTTGTTTGTTTAGTATATTCTTTGCTGTTCTTATATCATATAAATTCTTGTTATTGTGGTAGCTGTGTTGCATAAAGCAGCCACTAACATGAATTAAAGGTTCTGGAACTCTTTCTTAAGAAAATAAAAGGATAAAAATAAAAGTTAAGTTTCTAGGCAGCTCTATTTACAGCACTTATGTCCATGAATTAATTCATAACATACCTTTATTCTATTTAAATTTGCATTTTAAGTCATGCCTGAATGAAACTTAAGTAAACCACAAATGAAAGGAAAGTGAGTTTTAAATGGCAGTGGATGGATTTCAAAATCACGTGACCTAAGCCTTTCTTGGAAATAGTCAGACATCACAAATTTTTAAAATACCAAAACTGCACAGGTATATTATTAATAAATTTGCTTAACAGACAAGATTGAGTCTGCATTGATTGCAACAACAGCACAAATGAAAGAGGTTGTGATAGGAGACAATGAATCACAAATTGAAAAAAATAAGAAAAAATTAAGTGAAAAGATGTGTCTGGTGGAGTTGAGGAAGGTGACCGACAGTTGAGGACATAGGTACAAGAAAGGATGAAACAACAAGTAAGGACAGGATAGTAGATTCCTGCCTTTCCTTTTTCCTGGTCACTCTTATCTAGAAAATGAAGGGGAGAGAGAAAATAATTCACTCAGAATGAAGGCACAATATCAAGAAGGAGTAGGACAGAAATTTGAAACCCTTTCATAGTTTACTCCCTGGTTAAAATTGAAGGATATTTTTGAGACTTGGAGACATAAGGTTCCAAAGGACATCTCAGCTGTTAGCGACAAGGTTGGATTACATCTTCCACATCTTGGTGGAAAATAAGCAAATACAGGAAATGGCACAGGAAGAGAAAGTAAAATAGGACTTCTTTGGGGAAAACCTGTGTTCTTTACTCATTTATTTTTTTTGGTACTTTTCCTTTTTTCCTGAATAAAATGCAGGCATGCATGCACACATGAGGCAGGTACTTATATCATGAGGAAGCATACAGTAAAGGAACCCACGCATCCAAAAGTGTAACTGGAGCAGCATAGAAAGCTTGCACCATCATTAAAGGGATACATTGCTGAATTTCATTTAATCTGTAAACAAAAATAAAACTGAAAAATATTATTATTAAATGAAGGATGTTAAACTTTTATGATTCTATTAGCATTGTATGAAAAATCTTAGTAGTCCCTGAGACTATAGCTTCTCATGTCATTCACATAAAATTTCAAAATTGAGAAATACATTATAAATGACTTTTCTTACTATAAGTTCCTATATAAATATATAAAAAGAATTGCAGTGTACCCAATTAATAAGTAGATCAATAAAATGCAAAAAGACAGAACAATTACTATGTTATTAAAGAATATAAACCAAGAAAATTTTTCCAAAAATATGCATGTACTTGGGAACACTTAGGAAATATGATCAAAGACAATGAATGGAGTATGAGCCTAAAGCAAATACTAGAAATATGAATGATATCTGAATGTACACAGTCTTTGAAACAACAGTAGATGGAGAAATTTTACTCAGCAAGTTTGGGATCTTATCGCATACTAGGAGCCCAGCATGAAATCATGTGGCGCCACCCACCCTCCGGTCCAGCCCTGTCTCCCTCCCCGGGCCCCACAGCAGCTGCGCTGCTGCTGGTCCCCTGCCTCTCTCTCCAGTCCTTAAAGCAGCTGTGGCTGCTGCTGATCAGGCCCTCCCCCAGCGCAGGTGCACGGAGGCCCCTGCCACCTCTTCCTCAATGCTGCACTTGAAACCTCCTCATGTCCAGTTAGCAATTACAGTGCCTCAGTCAATTAACATATTTCTCTATTATATATATGTGTGTGTGTGTATATATATATATATATATATATATATATATATATATATATATAACTTAATGAATGGACAGTTTCCAGAAAAAAATATAGAATGTAAACCATATACCCATAAGTCTCATCTCCTTGGTCTTACAAACTTCACAATGAAACTCTGTCAAGATTCTGGGTGATAGAAGATGAATTTTATAGAGAAGTAACATAAAATGGAAAAAGTATGAATGGGAAAGAATGGAAGGTAGAAAAACAGAAATGGAGAGGAGTTCATAAACAAAACCACTGGTAGAGAAAAATAGATGTCCAGGAGAGAGAAAGCCAACAAATGGCATGTAGATAAAAAACAAACAAACAAGGAAAAAATAGAGAATATTAAAAGACACCATGGAAGTGGTTATTTAAATGTTTTTGGAGTAAAAGATTGGCAGAGAAATTTACCAATTCTTTTGCAGATATCATCTGAAAAATAAAATGGAAAAAAATCCATATAAATATTATGAAACAGGAACACAAGGAAAATTTAAACTAGTGAAAAGTTCCCATGTAATGGTAAATGTACCAGGATGTACACACACACACACACACACACACACACACACACACACCAAAGTAAATGAAAGCTACCTTTTGCCCTGAGAATATTGTTCAAAAATTAAAAGGAATGAATCTACTAAATTGAGAAAAATTGCAGGAATATAAGTTCCAGTAGTTACTTTATAAAAACATTTTGATCTCTTTTGACATTACTGAGGCTTTTATTACTCATTTTCTTAGATTTAATGTAATTTTGTTTTTTGCTAAATATATATCATCAATTCTCATTGTGGCAGCTATATTGCATAAAGTAATCACAAATGTGAATTAGCAAATACTGAATCATGGCTTCCAGAAAAAAAGAACACAGGATTTGGTTTTTGGTGCCTCTACTCACATTTTTGTCAAGCAATAAATATAAAACATTGTTTATTGTGAATTTCTATTTTAGCACATACCAAAAGGAGGTTCACCTTATCTTAATCTCTTCTCCAAAAAAAAAAAAAAAAATGCAAACACCAACCAATACACAAGCGATTTACTTAAAAAAAGATGAAGGGGCAAAGAGAAAAGGCAGCCATTTGTCTAAACCTGTGCCTATAGCAGTAGTTATATGAACATTCCTACATGCAATAAAGAGATATTTTTTTAAATTCCATTCCCTCTGAAAACAAAAATAGAACCAGAAACATGTTATTAGAAAAAGAGGACATTAAACAATTTTTGTTGTTAATCCTCATCCCAGCATATTTTTGGAGAGAGTGAAAGAGAGGCAGAGAATGGAGGAGAGAGAGAGAGAAATATTGATGTGAGAGAGACACATCAACTGGTTGCCTCTGGCAGGCACCTTGGCCAGGGCCAGGGATTGAACCTGCAACCCAGGTACATGCCCTTGACTAGGAATCAAACCTGCTATCCTCAATGTGCGGCCAACATGCTAACCACTGAGAAACACCAGCCAGGACTAGGACATTATACTTTTAATGATTATATTGGTATTTTATTAAAATATCTTTTGGAAACATTGAAGGATAATACCTTTTTGTGTCACTCACATTAAAAATACAGAATTGAGCCAAGTCAGAGTGACTCAGTTGGTTGAACTATATACTATGTACTGCAAGGTTGCTGGTTTGATTCCTGGTCAGGGTACATGCCTGGGTTGCTGGTTAAATCCCCTGTTGGGGAATGAAAGGAGGGCAAATGATCCATGTTTCTCTCACACACAGATAAATCTTTCTCTCTATTTCTCTCCTTTCTTCTCTCTAAGCATGTACTCAGGGGAAGATTTTTTAAAAAAAATTCAAAATAGATATATTATCACTAACATTTTCTTAAGATATAAACACTTTCTACAAATATTTACAATGGATTGCAGTTTGACAAGTTGATTATTGTGTCAATAAAATGTTTTAAATGAAGTCAAAATACTATTGTTAAAAATAGAATTTCAGGAAAAATCACATGAAATATTTTTATACCTGGTAACACTTAAGTAATATATACAGGGGCAAATACCCCTCAAATTTACAGTTGACCAATGAATGATATCAGAGGTTAAAGAGACTTTTGAATGGGGAGAGGAATGTGGGAGAAGTCCATAAGCAAAGTTTTGACTGACAATGCTAGACATTTAGAAGAGGTGTGAATCTTCCGTCCTGCCTCAGAGTTTGCATTAAATGGTCCCTTGAACTTGGAAAAAAAAAAAAGGCAGAGGTCCTAATTTAATGGATATTTTACAGACAGTATAATAGAGTGGAAATCATGTGCCCGTTAGCCTTTTTTCTTCACCTCACAAGATGTATAGTGGAAAATGTGGCAAGTCTCTGGAAAGCAGAAGAAATCAAAGTTCATAGGGAAAGACAGATATGAGATAGAAAAAGAAGAAATGGGAAGATAGGAAGTTATGAAAACTAAATAGAGGGAAATTCAAATGTGATAATTATATCAACAAAATAATTGAGGAAGGAGCAGTAGACTTAAAAAAAAAAAAAAAAGGTGAGCCAATGAATGCCATATAGGGAAAAAGGCATCAAGTAAACAGTTTGTTAGGGTATGGGAATTAAATTAATTAATTTACCAACTTGTTCCTGAAGACTGTCTGAAAAATAACAGTAAAAGAAATTGTAAATATTGTGGGGAAAAATTGTGAATAAAAATCAATTTATTGTAAAGTACTCATGCAAAATTAAACTTTGGCAAATGCAGATGAACACACAACACACACACATAGAAACAGTGGCTGAAAGCTTTCATTTTCTCAGAAACTATGGTTTCAAATTTTAAGCGAGAAAACATCTGCATATAGTGAATTAAGAAGAAAATAAGATTGAGGAATAAAGTTCTGTTAGTTACCTTATAAAAATATTCCTATATTTTTGACATTTTTATAACTTTTTTTTGGTTTGTTAGTTTTACCAAGATCTTTGGTACTATATATAATATAGGATGAGGCAAAAGTAAATTTACAGTTTTTCATTAAATAAAACAATAATTAATAAATAAATAATAATACAAGAATAAATTCTGTTTTGTGTATTCACAACTTTAACCTACCTTTGACTCTGCTTGTACTCATGTCTTATGTTTGCAATAGCCATGATGCATATTATAGTTGAAAAAAATATTAATCTGTATAATACTGAACCAGTTTTTCTAGAGAAAATCTGGCTTAGGTTAGTAGACATTTAGGAGAAGTGAAAAGCAATGAATAGCATATCAATACAAAGGCAAGAAATGTTAGAGACATTAAGAAAACAGTAATTTTAAATTGTTTGATAGGAAAGGGATGTCAGGACCAATTTACCAAAGTTCGTCTGAAGTTTGTCTGAAAAATGAAATGGAAAGGAATTGTAAATATTGTGGGAAGCAAATGTGAATACAATTCAAATTTATTGTAAAAACACTCATACAAAATTAAGCTTGTCACCTTGCAGATAAACACACAACACACACAAAGGAACAGTGGCTGAAAGCTCTCATTTGCTCAGAGAATATTGTTCCACAAGTTAAAGGGAGAAAGGACTGAATATAGTTAATTAAGAAAAAGCATTTTGCAATACAGTTTTGTTAATTATCTTATAAAAATACTCTTAATTTTTTGATAATTTTTTTGGTTTGTTAGCTTTAACAAGTCTTTGCTACTCAATATATATTTAAAGTGGAGTAAAAGTAAATCTACAGCTGTTTATTAAATAATCTAATATAATAATAGAGGGATACGCAAATTAGCCATGACGCCATAACGTCACAACCAGTCTACAAGCTGTGGAGAGCTACAGGAGGGCAGGGCAGCGAGCTGAGCGATGGCGAACCACCAGCGGCGGTGGGCGGGCGGCCAGCTGAGGCAAGCAGCAGCAAGCTACTCGTGCACAGATTTGTGCGCAGGACTACTAATATAGTAATAAATAAATAATAATGCAACAGTATACTCTGAGTTTCATGTACTCACAATTGTAAACCTACATTTGACCCTACCTGTATCCATGTCGTATGTTCGCAATAGTTATGCCATGTATTATAGTTGCAACAATAATTGATTTGGATAATATTGAACCCCTGACTCAAGAGGAAATCTCTGTTAGGTTAGAAGACATGATGGACAAGTGCTAAGCAATGGCATATCAATACGTAGCAGGAAATGTTAGAGACATTAAGAAAACAGTAATTTTAAATTTTTTGATAGGAAAGGGACGCCAGGACCAATTTACCAAAGTTCTTCTGAAGTTTGTCTGAAAAATGAAATGGAAAGAAATTTTAAATATTGTGGGAAGCAAATGTGAATACAATTCAAATTTATTGTAAAAACACTCATACAAAATTAAGCTTGTCACATTGCAGATAAACACACAACACACACAAAGGAACAGTGGTTGAAAGCTATCATTTGCTCAGAGAATATTGTTCCACAATTTAAAGGGAGAAAGGACTGAATATAGTTAATTAAGAAAAAGCATTTTGGAATAGAATTTTGCTAGTTATCTTATAAAAATACTCTTAATTTTTTCTTTTACTTTTTTATACATTTTTTGGTTTGTTAACTTTAACAAGTGCTTTGCTACTCAATATATATTTAAAATGGAGCAAAAGTAAATCTGCAGCTGTTCATTAAGTAATATAGTAATAAATAAATAATAATGCAAGAATATACTCTGAATTTCATGTACTCAAAACTGTAAACCTACATTTGACCCTGCCTATTTCCAGGTCTTATGTTTGCAATAGTCATGCCATGCATTATAGTTGCAACAAAAATTGATTTGAATAATATTGAACCCCTGATTCAAGAGGAAACCTCTGTTAGGTTAGAAGACATCAGGGACAAGTGTTAAGCAATGAATGGCATATCAATACAAAGGCAGGAAATATTAGAGACATCAGGAAAGCAGTCATTTTAAAGTGTTTGGGAGTAAAGGGATGTCAGAACCAATTTACCAAAGTCCTTCTGAAGTTTGTCTGAAAAATGAAATGGAAAGAAATTGTGAATATTGTGGGAAGCAAATGTGAATACAATTTGTCACATTGCAGATAAACAAACAACACACACAAAGGAACAGTGGCTGAAAGCTCTCAGTTGTTCAGAGAATATTGTTCCACAATTCAAAGGGAGAAAGGACTGAATATAGTGAATTGATTAAAAAAATTAGAATAAAGTTTTTATTTATCTTATAAAAATACTCTTAATTTATTTTGACTTTTACAATTTTGTTTTGTTTTGTTAGCTTTAACAAAATTTTTGCTACTCAATATATAGTATATACAAGGTGGGGCAATAGTAAATCTACAGCTATCCATTAAATAATATAGTAATCTATATTAATAAAAGTATAATATGCTAATTAGACTGGACAACCAAACGACCTTCTGGACATTCTTCCAGACGACCTTCCAGATGAAGCCACAAGGGCTTCAAGGGCTGAACCCCTTGCATGATTTTCTTACATTGGGCCTCTAGTTAAAAAATAATAATGCAAGAATATACTCTGAGTATCATGTACACACAACTATAAACCTACTTTTCCCTCTTCCCCTTACTCATGTCTTATGTTTGAAATAGCTATGCTGAGTTTTACAGTTACAGCAATAATTGATTTGGATAATATCAAACCCCTGGTTCAAGAGGAAATCTGTGTTAAGTTAGAAGACATCAGGGTCAAGTGCTAAGCAAGGAATGTCATATCAATAAAAAGGCAAGAAATGTTAGAGACATCAGGAAGGCAGTCATTGAAAAGTGTTTGGGATTAAAGGGATATAGAACCAATTTACCAAAGTTCTTCTGGAGTTTGTCTGAAAAATGAAAGGGAGAAAATGTTATTTATGAGAAAGAAACCCAAAGACATTTCTGCAATATTGAAAAATAAGTACATAAAAGTAACTAAGGATTCAGATAAACACACACACACACGTACACGTGCACACACATACTTGCAGGCACCCAACAGTGGCTGAAAGCTCCCTTTTGAGGAAATTAAAAGGTGAAAAAGGAATTCATGAATTGAGAAAATTATAAGAATATTAGTTATGATAATTGCCTTATTAAATTTTTGTGATTTTTTTTTACCTTACTTAGTCTTTTATTATTAACATTTTAACTCTTTTTTCTTTTTAAATCTTTTTAAATTAAATTTTGGGATGGCATTGGTCTATAAAATTATATGTTGCTAATAATGCAATTAATTCTATGATACATCATTAGTGTATCACATTGTGTGCTTATCGTCCAAAGTCAAATCTTGTTCCTTCCCTATTTCTTTGATCACCATTATCATTTACTATCCACCATTTTCCTTTGGTGACCATCATAATGTTGTCTGTGTCTGTGGGGATGTTTTTGTTTGTTTTATCTTTATTGTTGAAAATATTACAGATTTTCTATTTTATTTCCCCATTGACCACTTCCACCTTGCTCCTGGTCCCCCAAACCCACCAGATTCCCAGGCCCTCAATGCACTATTGTCTCTGTCCATGGGTTATGCATATATGCATTTTATGCATACAATTCTTTGGTTAATCTTTTCCCTTTGGAGATTCCTTAGTCTGTTCTATGCTTTCATGTCTCTCTGAGGTGTTTTTTGTTTGTTTGTTTTTTCTTATTTAATCATTTGTTGCTTTCAGTTTTATATGCTCTGTATGAGTGAAACCATATGGTTCTTGACTTTTTCTATTGGACTTATTTTTATCAGCATGCTATCCTCAAGAGCCATCCATGTTGTCACAAATGGCAGTATTTCATCTCCTCAAGAAGACATATAAATGGCCTCACATATTTGAAAAGATGCTCAACTTCACCAGCTCTTAGGGAAATGCAAATAAAAACTATAATGAGATACCACCTCACACCTGTTAGAATGGCTATTATCAACAAGACTAGTAATAACAAGTGTTGGAGAGGTTGGGGAGAAAAAGGAACCCTCATTCAATGCTGGTGGAAATGTAAACTGACACAACCACTATGAAAAACAATATGGAACTTCCTTGGAAAATTAATAATACAGTTTTCAAATGAACCTACAAACCCTTTTATGGATACCTACCCTAAAATTTTGAAAATATTTATTTCCAAGCATATATGCACTCCTGTGTTCATTGCAGCATTTTTCATGGTGACCAAAACAAAGAAGCAAGCCATTTGTCCTTCCATACATGATTGGCTAAAGAAGAAGTGTACCTACATACAATGGAATCCTACTCAACCACAAGGAAGATTTTAACTTTAATAAGAGCTCTGTCTGTGGCTAAATATATAGTCAACTAGTGAACTGGTGCACGAATTCATGCACATTGAAAGAACATTAATTAGAAGAAATATTTTAATATCGCTATTCACCCTTTCTCTATAATAGAAGTGTCAACTAAATTCATGACCCACAATGACAGATGGAAACACATGCATGCAATTGGCGCCAGTGAGAGCTTTAAAAGTATTGTGCATGTGTGAGTCAACTTAGCCTTTTATATATACATAGAATAAACTTGCTTAATAAGACCTGCTTTCTGATTTAGCTAAAATTTTTCCAGTCTGGTGAAGCACTCCAACTTCTCTTTCAGGTAATTTTCAGCAACACAGCAGTAAATAGCAACATTACATAGATTATTATTGTAGATCATGCAGGGAGAACAAAGGGTAAAATATTTAACTGTGGTAGTATTTGACTATATTCTTCACAGTGAGAAAACCTGAAGTCATTTTCAAGATCCACCATTTCTCGCTTCTTTTCAGTCGGGTCAAGTTTCTAAGCTTTCTAAATCTCCGTTTTCTAGCTAATGAAAAGAAAATAGGATTCCACCGAGTCTCCTATTCATTTACTCCAGGACTTCTATGAAGATCAAATGAGATGAGGCGTGGGAAAATGCTTCACAGACATTTGGTTAAGTGTGAAATGTTTTCAACTGTGTTCATGGGCTGAAGAAACTGCAAGGGGGCTAGTTGCTATAGAGAGAAAGCCGGGCATTGCTATGTGACATCATTACCCAGAAACCACAGCGACTGTTTCCAGGCTGGGCTGGGCTGTGGACTGCATTTTATGCCATAGGGTTTCAGCAGTGTTGGCTGCAATTTGGTGGGCTGTCACTCCATGGTGGTGGTGGGGCCTGTGTCTCACTTGGGGGAAGCTGAGTGTTGCTTTGTGGGTACCAGGTCCACAGTGCCCTTTCTGTGTGTGTGTCACGGCGGCTCCTCCATTGAGCATCTGTCCCTGGTAGTCAATGTTCATCATAGCGACTGGTCGGAAGGTGGGAAGGACACTTAGCATATAGCCTTTTATATAAATAGATTCTCCTATTATGGAAGCTAGCCATATAAAATTGCCACAAACAATGATTTATAGAATCCAGAATCAATGCTCCTATTGGTTATGCAAGATTAGGTTGAAGTGTTCCTCTCTTCACAATATTTTGTCATTTCACACATAACCTTATTTTAGGTGAGCTTGATTTTAACTCATGCCTGAATAAAGTTTACCATAAAAGCCCTAGCTTGTTTGTCTCAGTGGATAAGGTATAGGCCCACAGACTGAAGGGTCCTGGGTTCTATTTCAGTCAAGGGCATATACCTTGGTTGCAGGCTCCTCCCTGGCCCAGGCAAAGGTAGGGGTGTGTGGAGGAAGCTACCAATCAATGTGTTTCTCTCACATCATTGTTTCTCCATGTCTATCCCTCTGTCTTAAAAGATCAATGGAAAAATATGCTTGGGTAAGGATAAATAAAAAAAATAAAAAAAATAGTGCCCCATAACAAACTCAGCGAAAAGGAAGGGAGAGAAAGTATTAAATGACATTAAGTGGGAGTGGGGGCAAGATACATTGTTGGGCTGAAGCTATGTTGGGCAAAACATTCAGATCAGACACTTTAAATATAGCAAAACTGTACAGGGAAGTAATTACTAAAATTTTCTTGTCAGAAAGGCAATGTTTGTTTTTTGTTTTAATGTTAAATGCAATAAACATTAATATTTAAAGAAAAGCAATTTTCCATAACTAGAGATAAGGAAGGCCACTTCATAATACTAAAGAGATCCATACAACAAGAGGATATAACCCTGAAAAACATATATGCACCCAATGTAGGAGCACCCAAATACATAAAAAAAACTGGAAGATATCAAGGGAGAGATTGACAACAATACAATCATAGTAGGGTACTTTAATACACCACTGACATCACTGGATAAATCCTCTAGACAAAAAATCAACAAACAAACAGCAATCCTAAATGACTCACTAGATCAGATGGACTTAATTGACATCTTCAGAACATTTCACCCCAAAGCCATGGAATATACATTCTTCTCAAGTGCACATGGGACATTTTCAAAAATAGACCACATATTGGGTCACAAGCAAAGTCTCCCCAAATTCAAGAAGATTGAAATCATACCAAGCATCTTCTCAGACCACAATGGCATAATATTAGAAATAAACTACAATAAAAACAACCCCAAACACTCAAAGACTTGGAAGCTGAATAGCATGTTATTAAATATTGAATGGGTTACCAAAAAGATCAAAGAAGAAATAAAAAACATTCTGTAAACTAATGACAATGAAAACACAACAATCCAAAACCTATGGGACACAATGAAAGCAGTCCCGAGAGGGAAGTCTATAGCTCTACAGGCCTACCTCAAAAAACAAGAAAAAATGGTAGTGAATCATCTAACTCTACATCTCAAAGAATTAGAAAGAGAGCAACAAGAAAAACCCAGAGTGAGAAGGAAGGAGATAATAAAGATTAGAACAGAAATAAATGACATAGAGACCAAAACAACAATACATAAAATCAATGAAACCAAGAGCTGGTTCTTTGGAAGGATAAACAAGATTGTTGAACCTCTCGCCAGACTCACCAAGAAGCAAAGATAGAGGACCCAAATAAACAAAATCAGAAATGATAGAGGCTAAATAACCACAGACCCCACAGAAATACAAATGATTGTTAAAAAATACTATGAACAACTCTACTCCAACAAAATAGACAACCTGGAGAAAATGGACATATTCCTAGAAAAACACAACATTCCAAAACTCAATCAGGAAGAATTTAAAAATCTCAATAGGCCGATAACTGTGGAAGAAATTGAAGCAGTCATCAAAAAGCTTCCAGCAAAGAAAAGCCCAGGGCCAGACAGCTTCACAGCGGAGTTATACCAAACATTCAAGGAAAAACTAAAACCTATCCTCCTCAGACTATTCCAAAAAGTTCAAGAGGAAGAAACACTTCCAAGCTCATTCTATGAAGCCAACATCACCCTAATACCAAAACCAGGTAAAGACAACACAATGAAAGAAAATTATAGGCCAATATCCCTCATAAATAGATGCCAAAATCCTCAACAAAATCTTAGCAAATCGGATCCAGCAGTACATCAGAAAGATCAAACATGATGACCAAGTAGGATTTATCCCAGGGATGCAAGGATGGTAAAATATCAGCAAATAAATAAATGTGATACATCACATAAACAAATTGAAAGAAAAAACCCCACATCATCATATCAATTGATGCAGAAAAAGCATTTGACAAAATCCAACACCCATTTTTGATAAAAACTTTCAGCAAGGTGGGAATAGAAGGATCATACCTCAACATAATAAAAGCCATATATGACAGGCCCACAGCCAACATCATACTCAATGGAAAAAAAACTAAAACTATTTCCCCTAAGAACAGGAACAAGACAGGGATTCCCATTCTCACCACTCCTGTTCTACATAGTACTGGAAGTATTAGCCATTGCGATTAGACAAGAAGAAGAAATAAAAGGCATCCAAATTGGAAAAGAAGATGTAAAACTGTCCTTATTCAGAGATGACATGATATTGTATATAGAAAACCCTAAAGACTGCATCAAAAAACTATTAGACATAATAAATGAATTCGGCAAAGTAGCAGGATACTAAATTAATGCCAAGAAATCTGTGGCAGCCCTGACTGATTTGGCTCAGTGGATAGAGCTGTGACCTGCGGACTCAAGGGTCCCAGGTTCGATTCAGGTCAAGGGCATGTACCTTGGTTGCAGGCACTCACCCAGTAGGGAGGTGTGCAGGAGGCAGCTGATCGATGTTTCTCTTTCATTGATGTTTCTAACTCTCTGTCCCTCTCCATTCCTCTCTGCAAAAAATCAATAAAATATATTAAAAAAAAGAAATCTATGGCATTTCTATACACCAATGGTGAACTTACAGAAAGAGAGATTTAAAAAGAAATCCCATTTACCATCACACCAAAAAAATTAAGATACCGAGCAATAAACTTAACTAAAGAGGTAAAAGACCTCTACTCAGAAAACTACAGGACATTGAAAAAAGAGGTAGAGGAAGACATAAACATATGGAAGAACATACCATGTTCTTGGATTGGTAGAATCAACATCATTAAAATGTCCATACTACCCAAAGCAATCTATAAATTCAATGCACTTCCCATTAAAATACCAACTGCATATTTCACAGACATAGAACAAACTCTCCAAAAATTCATCTAGAATAAAAAAAGACCCCGAATAGCTGCAGCAATCCTGAGAAAGAAGTAAGTAGGTGGCATCTCAATACCAGATATCAAGCTGTATTACAAAGCCACTGTTCTCAAAACTGCCTGGTACTGGCACAAGTTCAGGCATATAGGTAAATGGAATAGAATAGAGAGCCCAGAAATCGGCCTGAACCAATATGCTCAATTAATATTTGACAAAGGAGGCAAGAACATACAATGGAGTCAAGACAGTCTCTTCAATAAATGGTGTTGGGAAAATTGGACAGATACATGCAAAAAAAATGAAACTAGACCACCAACTTACACCATACACAAAAATAAACTCGAAATGGATAAAGGACTTAAATGTAAGATGGGAAACCATAAAAATACTAGAACAATCCAAAGGCAACAAAATCTCAGACATAAGCCAAAGCAATTTCTTCACCAATACAGCTCCTAGCGCATTGGAAATTATAGAGAAAATAAACAAATGGGACTACATCAAAATAAAAAGCTTCTGCACAGCAAAAGAACCCATCAACAAAGCAACAAGAAAACCCACTGCATGGGAGAACATATTTGCCAATGTTATCAGTGATAAGGGTGTAATCTCCAACATTTATAGGGAACTCATACAACTTAACAAAAGGAAGATAAACAATCCAATCAAATATGGGCAAAGGACCTAAATAGACACCTTTCAAAAGAGGACATTCAGAAAGCCAAGAGACATATGAAAACATGCTCAAAGTCACTAATCATCTGAGAAATGCAAATCAAAACAACGAGGTGCCATCTCACACCTGTCAGAATGGCTATCATCAACAAATCAACAAATGACAAGTGCTGGAGAGGATGCGGAGAAAAAGGGACACTCGTGCACTGCTGGTGGGAATGCAGACTGGTACAGTCACTATGGAAGACAGTGTGGAGTTTCCTCAAAAAACTAAAAATGGAACTCCCATTTGACCCTGTGATCCCACTTCTAGGAATATATCCCAAGAAAACAGAAACACCAATCAGAAAGGATATATGCACCCCTATGTTAATAGCAGCACAATTCACAATAGCTAAAATCTAGAAACAGCTTAAGGGCCCATCAGTAGATGAATGGATTAGAAAACCGTGGTACATCTACATGATGGAATACTATGCTGCTGTAAAAAAGAAGGAATTCTTACCATTTGCAACAGCATGGATGGACCTGGAGAGCATTATGCTGAGTGAAATAAGCCAGTCAATGAAAGAAAAATACCACATGATCTCACTCATTTATGGATAATTAAGACCATTATAAACTGATGAACAAAAATAGATACAGAGGCAAAGCAACATTAAACAGACTGTCAACCTACAGCGGGAAGGCCGGCGAGGGTTGGGGGGGGGGGGGTAAGAGTTCAACCGAAGGACTTGTATGCATGCTTATAAGCATAACCAATGGACACAAGACACTGGGGGGTATGGGACACCAGGGGAAGGTCAAGGGGAGGAAAAAAAGGAAACATACATAATACTCTTTGTAATACTTTAAGCAATAAAACAATTAAAAAAATTTAAATATAATAATATTATATGCAATAAACATTAATATTTCAAGAAAAATAGATTTTAAATATTATTATATTACCAAAACTGTACTAACATAATATAATATCACAAAAGTTGTAGGAGATATTAAAAATCTGCAAATAACAGGATTATTTCTATTATATTCTAAAACATTTTTTTCTCTGGCTCTATTTCTGTTCATCAGTTTATGTTGTTCATTATATTCCAAAATGACTGAGATCATGTGATATATATCTTTCTCCTACTGGCTTATTTCACTTAGCGTAATGCTCTCCAGGTCCATCCATGCTGTTGCAAATGGTAAGAATTCCTTCTTTTTTTACAGCAGCATAGTATTCCATCGTGTAGATGTGCCACAGTTTTCTAATCCATTCATCTGCTGATGGGCACTTAGGCTATTTCTAAATTTCGCTATTGTAAATTGTGCTGCTGTGAACATAGGGGTGTATATGTACTGTCTGGTTGGTGTTTCTTGTTTCTTGGGATATATTCCTAGAAGTGGGATTACTGGGTCCAATGGCAGTTCCATTTTTAATTTTTTGAGGAAACTCCATACTGTTTTCCTCAGTGGCTGCACCAGTCTTCATTTCCAACAGCAGTGAAATATTTGCATAAATTGTAAGGACAGGGACATCAAAGAAATAATAATGTGGTAAACTAAGAAATGAACTTAGCTAACTTCAGTTGAAATCATATCAAAACAAGAAAAAATGATGTACAATTTCATGTGTATGTTAGTGTAAGGAAGATGATCTTTGAGAGTTGAAAACAAATGCAAAATAAGCAAATGAAAATGAGTAAGTGCAAAGTGAAATACATTAATGTGACTTGCCTTTATTCTGTTCATCCTTATCTGAAAAAATGAAAGAAAGAAAAAAAAAGTTCAAACATAATGAAGGCACAATATCAGGAAGAGAAGAGAACAATACATTGAAACGCTTCCATTGTTAATTCTTTTATTAAAAGAGACCCACATTTCTAAAGAGTGAAGCTAAAGAATCCTAAGATCATTTAACCAATGAGAGCCAGTGTCACCTTCATACCCATTAGTGCAAAAGGAATAAGATGGGAAATGAAAGCATGGCAGACCTCAAGTAGAATTTCCTCTGGGATAAACTATATCAATCTTTGGTCTTGCTTTGGGCCTTCCAATTTTTCAGACTAAAATGCCGAAAGACACACATATCTAAGACAGGTACTTAAAGTGTGATGCAAGAGCAAATTAATAATGTGAGCCGTGGTCGGCAAACTGTGGCTCGCAAGCCAGATGCGGCTTTTTGGCCCCTTGAGTGTGGCTCTTCCTAAGCCTTAGGAGTACCCTAATTAAGTTAATAACAATGTACCTACCTATATAGTTTAAGTTTTAAAAATTTGGCTCTCAGAAGAAATTTCTATCATACTGTTGATATTTGGCTCTGTTGACTAATGAGTTTGCCGACCACTGGAGAGAAAAGTACCCTGCTACCAATACCTGTGTCCGTATCAGTAATCATATGAAGCCTGCTTATATATATAAACAGTTCTGTTCCCAAGTTCCATTTTAGCTCTAAACTAAAATATAATTGAAATGTAACATTATAAAAGGAGGAGGATAAGTTTTTAATGATTCTATCAGGGCTCAATGAAAAATGTCTTTTTGGACCATGCTCTGACAAAAGCTTCTCATGTGATCCACATAGAGAGGTCTGAGTTAAAGACACACTATACATAACTTTCCTTAAGATATAACATCCTTCTGCAACATGTAAAAGGTACTGCAGTTTTCAGAATTATTGGCTGAGTAAAAATGTGAAAGAATAAAGAACATTTAATGTAGTTGGAAGGAAAATGTCCAAAAATATTTATATAAATGATAAAACTTGGCTAATATGATCTCTGGGAAGTTGAAAGAGTGAGGCTCCAGGTCACACACCATTTGAGAATGACATCAGGGTTTACACAGTGTTTGACAGGGCAATGGAGGAAGGAACTGTGCTCATCACATTTGGAATCTTCTCCCATTACTCAAAGTTTGCATAAAATGGCCCCTTGAACAACAACAACGAAAAGGCAGAGTCCTAATTTCATCGATATTTTATGGACAGTGTATATAGAGTGGAAATCAATCATGTGCCGAATCTTCTTCACCTCACAAGATTTGTTGTGAACACATGGCAAGTCTCTGGAAGCAGAAAATACCAAAATTTATATGGAAGTACAGGTATGAGATGGAAAGCAGAATAAACTGAGAAGGAAGAAAGTTAGAAAAATAAACAGGTGGAACTGAATTTGGAGAATTACATAAGCAAAAAGTGAGCCTGTGGATGTCATATAAGGAAAAAGGCAGACAATGCTAGAGACAGTAAGTAAACAGTTAGGATTAGGAGTAAAAAGTTTATAGAATGTTTACCATGTATCCCCACAGGTTTTTCTGAAAAAAAAAAAAAAAATATATATATATATATATATATATATATATATATATATATATATATATATATAAAATGTAAAAATTGTAAAAATAAATAAGAATAAAAGTCAAATTCCATGCACATTTCATTTCAAATTAATCCCGTCAGGCTGCAAATAAATACATGTGCACAACATCACACATTGGCACACATAAAATTACACACATGCACAAAATTGTGGTTGAAAACACAGTATTTTCCAGGGAGTATTCTTTTTTTTTTTTTTCAGGGAGTATTCTTTTCAAAATGAAAATGATGATAAAATGAGCATATTAAATGAAATATAGAAACATGGAAATAATAATTCCCAAGGTTGCCTATTAAAGTATTTCTTACTTATTTTAACATTAGGAGTTTCTTGTTCAATCTGTACGATTTGTAAGTTTTTGGTTTAGTTAATGTGTATAGTCAGTTATTGTTTGCAGCAGCTATGTTGTATGCAGTAGCCACAAGCTGTAAGTTAGAGTATCTTGAACCAAAACCTGTATAAGGACAACAGCATTGTATTATAGACCACTCTATTTACAACATTTATACCAACCTTGTGTTATGTGAATTTATATTTTAACTACCAACAAAATAAAACACTCTTTAATTAAATTCTATGAAAGGAAAAAGAGAAATGAAATATTACATGACAATCAGTTGGGTAAATGAATTGACATAACCATATCTTGGACAAATTTTGACATCAGCCTCATGGAGTATAACAATATGGTAGAGGTATATGAAAAGTAAAATTTACTTGACTCAAAAAAAATCTATATCCTAATAAAGGGTGTCCCAAAATTCACGCAAGAAGTAATTTTGATAGAAAACACAGGTTTATAATTGAAAATTGAAAATTTTTTATTGATTTATAAAGTATACAGTATAGGGTTTATGTATGAAATAGCATATTGGGTAAATGGCCTCCACGGCTTTGCTGGCACATACACACTTTTTTGTTATTGCCTGAGCAGCTGCATTTTTGAAAAAGAATGGTCCGATGATGTCTCCAGCCCAAAATCCGCACCAAACAGTGGCACGTTGTGGATGCATTTGTTTCTCAAAAATCACTCGTGGATTTCCTGAACCCCAAATGTGACAATTTTGTCGACTAACCAAGCCATTAAGATGAAAATGAGCCTCATTGAAATTCAGCCACATTTATGCAAAACGGTCATGGAAAATTTCAACGAAAGAGTGCATATGTGCCAGCAAAGCCGTGGAGGCCATTTACCTGATATGCTATTCCATACATAACCCTATACTGTATACTTTATAAATCAATAAAAATGTTCAATTTTCAATTATAAACCTGTGTTTTCTATCAAAATTACTTCTTGCGTGAATTTTGGGACACCCTTTATATAAAAACCCTGGCGCCCTCACATCCAAAATGACCGGAAGGACGAGGGAACACTAGGCGAGGGACCTGAGAGAGCGGGAGCTAATCAATCCACGGCAGCAGAGACTGGTGAGCCGTGACTGGCGAGCAGCTGGAAGGCAGACCTCTTGGTCCCTCCTCCCGCCCCTCAGACTCCAATCAATCAGTGGCAGAAGCTGCCTGGAACTGGGGACTGGCTCCCTTAGTCCTGCAGGTTCAGTCTCAAGAGGACAGGACAGGCACCAATGGACCAGCGCTGCGGGCACAATCCTGACAGTGCTGCTGGCCTCCGGGAACTTGGCTCCAGGCAATGCAGCCACTTCCCCTCCTAGATGCTCCACAAGGAAGAAAGGACACCGCCAGCAGCGCCAGGGGCGACCAGCAGTGACTGCTCTCCCCAGGCTTCCTCCAGGTCACTGGGGCCCGCCCCGCTCCAGATGAAGTGTGACCACTGCACACGGAAGGAATGTAGTAAAAAATAAAAACCGACGACCAAGTGACCAGAGGGGTGACCGAACCCCAGGCGCACCATGTGCACTTACATAGCGCCAGGCACTTGGATGTGAGCAGACAGAAGGAAACAAGACCTTCAAGACCTGTCCATGTCCCAAGGTGTGTTTGCATTTAAAACCAAGTGGGGTGATGTCAGAATTACCCAAGCACGCCCCCACCCCCTTCACGTGCCCAGATACCTAGGGTCCCCTGACAGCTGGGCTGAGCTCTGCTCAATACTCCCCTGCCCAATGCACAGTGACAGCACGCAACTCCGCGCCAAGCCCGAGCAGGACCCCTGGCCAGGCTCCTGCAAACCACCCACAAAGGCGTAGGTCCCGCCGCAGCCTCCAGGCAAACGGACCCACCTCTCGGCCGACCAGCCTGGAGTCTGGGTGGAGGCGAAGGCTTTGAGAGGAGATAGCTCCAGGGCGTGTACCCGGCCTCTAGTAGATAATAAAACAAACAATTAAAACAAGCAGTAATGGTTATTATTGAATGTCAAAGGAAAATGGCAACCTTCCGTTTGAAAGATAAGCACGGAGGAATAATGATGTGAAAATATGGGTATGTTGGATTGGGATGATGTTCGTTGGAAATTGAAGAGGAAGTTACAAGTAACAGATAAGACCATGACTAGATACACAAACATTTAGATTATATTGACTTACCTTTGGAGACATCTGTAATAGTATCAAAATAAAGAAAAAAATAATATTAGAAGGGGAAAAATTAGTTATATTATTATTTTAAAAAGTTAACTTGCCTTTTTCTTCCTTAAAATTAGAAGGAATAAAGCAACATTAATTCCAACTGAATGCAAATGTCAAAAAGAGGTAGAAAAATTTAAAAAGTTCCATATGTGTCTCTTCTTCCTAATACACATGCATATTTTTAAAATATATTTTTCTTTTTTAAAAGTGTTAAAATATGTTACCAATTTTTATAGTTGATGCATAATATTACATTATTTTCATGTGTACAACCCAGTTATTAGACATAGATATAACTTGCAAAGTGATATGTCTGATAAATCTAGTACTTATCTGGGACCATATGTAGTTATTAAAATATTATTACTTTTAAAAATAATTTGTCAATAGTGATTCACCATCTTATTTATTTATTTTTTAATATACTTTTATAGATTTCAAAGAGGAAGGGAAAGGGAGAGATAGAAACATCAATGATGAGAGAGTATCATTGGTTGGCTGCCTCCTGCATGCGCCCAACTGAGGATCCAGCCTGCAACCCAAGCATCTGCCCTTGACTGGAATCAAATGGGATTTTCTAGTCCACAGTCCAATGCTCTGTCCACTGAGCCAAACCAGCTGGGGCTTAAAATATTATTGACTAAACAGACCAAGTGCCCATCAGCAGATGAGTGAATAAAAAATTGTGGCACATTTACACAATGGAATACTACACAGCAATAAAAAGGAAATAACTCTTATTGTGGGAAACTGTTTATTGCCTTCACTATCTGAGAAGCATAGACAGAGAACTCCCTGAAACCCCCCTGAAGGCTGGGTGCCTTTGAAGTCCTAGCAAAGGTCTGAGCTAGGCGCCACCTCTGTTTGTCCAGACAGTGGTAGCTGAAACTACTCCCCCATTTATTATTATGTAAATCCTTGCTGATGGGCTAGTCTGCCTGTTAATGAGGGGTCGCCTGCCTAAGGGCTATGCTATGGGTGCATCCCAGATCAATAAAAGATTAGAGCAGCCTGAGCAAGGTGGAAGTCCTTTGGGACTTGGCCGCTTGGTCCCCCAATATTGCAAAATTATCTCGTGTCTTTTTCTCTCATTTGTTGTGCGGCTCCTCTTTCAGATACCGAACCCTACTCCACACAGAACGTAGAGGGAGTCTTACTCGACATCTTATCATTTGCGACAACATGGATGGACCTGGGGAGTATTATGTTCATTGAAATAAGCCAGTCAGAGAAAGATAAGTATCACATGATCTCCCTCATATGTGGAATCTAATGACCTAAATAAACTGATGAACAAAAATAGACCCAGAGACATAGAAGCATGAACAGACTGTTGAATCTCAGAGGGAAGCCAAGGGAGAGTGGGTGGGAATCAAACAACCAATAAACTTGTATGCATATGTGTCTAACTGGTGGACATAGGCAATGGGGTAGTGAGGGTCTGGGGGAGGGGGAACCAGAGCAGGCTGGAATTGGTTAATGGGGGAATAAATCATATAAATGGAGGACCTTGTAATACTTTCAACAACAAAGATGGAAAATACATATTATCAGATCTTTTTGCTTCTTTCATTTGAATTCGTAAAATTTATGACCACATTTTTAAAAATGGACTGAACTCCCTATACTGTACTTTACATCCCTGAGACTATTGTGTAAATACCAATTTTACTATGTAATGCCTTCATATTTTTCACCCAATGCTCACCTCCCCCTTCTGGAAACCATAAATATGTTCTCTGTATTTAAGAATCTGCCTCAATTTTGTTGGTGTCTTTATTTTCTTCTTTAGATTCCACATATAAGGGAAATCACGTGGTGTGTGTCTTTTTCTGTCTTATTTCACTCAACACGATATTCTGCACATCCATCCACCTTAACATGCATTTCTGAGAATTGGACTCACAGTGTTCAAAGATCATCCCCCAAATGCCGGGAAACTTTACTTAACTTCCACACATTCCTGTTGCCAAGGAGACTGTGATTGGAAATGATAACATACAATACCACTGCCTCTAAACAGTGAGGTGGATATGCCATATATCAATCATATATCCACTCCAATGTATCATTGATCTTGCATTGGGCCTTCCACCAACTTAAGAATAAAATGAAATATCAAACTCATGTACAAGAGAACTATGTAAAAAGAGAGTGAAATAAAAAACTAAAAGTACATCTCATTCTGAAACACTATCTATAGCAACAGACTTCTAAAGTCTAATTCATATATAATTAAATCAATATACTCTAGAAATGAAATCATATGAAAATCACTATCATTAAAAATTGTCATTACAAAGAGATGTTAAAGTTCTCAGTTTTATTTCCATTGTAAGTTAATGCTTTGGCAGCATTCTAGTTTTTTAATGGCCATATCTTTCAAATAAAAAAATTGAGAATTGAGGGCATATATAATTTAACATTTTCTGACTTGTAAAAGCTTCTATAAATATTAACCAGAAATTAATTTCCCAAAATGAAAATTGTTTCATTGAAAATGCAAAACCATAAGAACAGTTACTATGGTTGGAAAGAAATCTTCTGAGAATAATCATGGGCAATGTTTATACATTGCAATCATTTGGACAATGTGTCCAAGGGCAGGGAAAATAATAGGCCTGAACCATGGAATGATAACAAAATGTACACAGGCTTTGGAAAACAGTATATGGTCAAACTTTACTCAGAAATTTTAGAATTATTTGCATCCCTTAAGGTTAGGACAATACCAGTGGTATAGTAAAGGGCGCTCCAGGATGGATGGCTGACAGTAGTACAATTTTGAATGTGTTCAGGAAAAGGAAATAAAATGCAAATGATGTGCCTATCAACCTAGTGCCCTTCATCTTGCCAACTTCTCAGGGAAACTGTAGCAAGTTGGGTGCACATAAATATCCAATGGTGATAATGAAAATATGGTATTGAATAAAAAAAAGTAAATAGAAAAAAAATGGAAGCCTAGAAAATTGAAATGGCATAAAATACATAAAAAGTAAATGGAAATATATGAAGTTTAGAAAATTAAACTGGAGAGACATAACATGACAGAAGAACTTAGCAAATTAATTGTAGAAGTAAAGGTCAAACAGAAAGACAATTGGTAGCACGTGGATTAATAAAAGGGAATATAAAGGCCTTACAACACCAGTCATTTTATTGGGGTTCGGAGTAAGCATTTCATAAAACATTTACCAATTTTTTCCACAGGTTTTTCTGGAAAACAAAATAGAGAGATCAATGTAAAAATTGTGTAGATGAGATAGGAATAAAACTTGAATTTCAATTTAAAATTAATCTCATCTGGCTGCGAGTAAACACACATGCACAACATTACCTATAGGCACACACCAAATCACACACACATTTGCACAAATATTGGTTGAGAGCTCAGTATTTTCCAGGGAGTACTCTTTTCAAAATGGCAATGATCAAAAAAGTAATTAACTGAAATAAAAAAAGCATGCAAATAATAACTCTCAAGGTTGCCTTGTAAAGTATTTCTTATCCCTTTTGACATTAGTTAGGATTTTATCATTCAGTTAGAGGCCCAGTGCATGAATTTGTGCATGGGTGGGGTCTGGCCAGCCTCCAATCAGGGCAGGTCAGTGCTGGGCCAGCTGGGGGGAGGGGCCTCAGGCAATTGACTGGTGGGCCCTACCCCTGAGTGGGGTAGGGCAGCCGACTGTGTGTGGGGACAGCCATGCAGAAGGGCTGTGGACACTGGGCCTGCTGGCCCCACCTATGAATGGGATAGGGGGGGCAATCGGGGGCATAGATGGCTTGGGGGAGGGTCTGCAGGTCAATTGGGGTGCTGGGGGCTGGCCATAGGAAGGGGCTGTGGTCAGTGGGCCAGCTGGTCCCACCCCTGAATGAGGTGGGAGGGCCGATTGGGAGCCAGTGGCCTGGGGGAGGGGCCGCAGGCTGTTGGTTGACTGGTGCTGATACTGACTGAGGTGGGGGAGCCACTCTGGAGTGGGGTTGAGTGGAGGGAGGAGCTGCAGATCGATGGGGGTGATGGTGGCCCATCAAGGGCTGGGATGGAGGGGGAGAGGTTACAGGAGGTTGGCCTGCCCCACCCCCCGATTGGGCAGGTTCGCTGGCCACAGTGGGCGTCATAGCGAACGGTCGTTCTTGTCGTTATGGCGTTCCGGTCTCTGGCTTTATATATATATAGTTATGTACAATTTGTAAGTTTTTTGGTTTAATTAATGTGTGTAGTCAATTGTAGTTTTTACAGCAGCTCTGTTGTATACAGTAGCCACAAACTATAAACTAGAGGATCTTGAACCAATACCTGTAGAAGTACAGAAGGGTTATATTCCTAGAACTCTCTAATTGCAACGTTCTTATCAACCTTCCGTTATGTGAATTTCTATTTTAATTACCAGCTAAATAAAAAACTTTTAAATTAAACTCCATGAAAGGAAAGAGAGAAAGGAAATATCACATGACCATCAGTTGTGTAAATGAGTTGACATAGCCATATCGTGGACAATTTTGACATCAGTCTCACTGAGTATAACAATATAGGAAGGTGTATGAAAGTTAAAATTTACTTGTGGCAAAAGGAATGTCTGCAAAGGTGATGAAACAAACAATTCAAACAAACAATACAAAGTTATTATTGAATATTAAAGGAAAAGGGCAACCTTCAATTTGAAAGGTTATTAAATATTAGGAATAATTATGTAAAAATACGGATATGTTGGTTTTGAGTTGATGACCATTGCTAGTTGAAAAGGGCATTACAAGGTGCAGAAAAGACTATGAATAGGTGTACAAAAATGTATATTAAGATGACATCTGTAATAGTGTCAACAATAAAGAAAGAATAATAATAGAGGAGGAAAAGTTAAGTGACATTATTGTTTTAGAGATTAAATTGCCGTTTTCTTCCTCACAAGTGAAATCCTTCTGTAAATATTAATCAGAAATTAGTTTTCCAAAATGATAGTTGTATCATTGAAAAGGCAAAACCATAATTGCAGTTACTATGTTTGGAAAAAATCTTCCAAGAATAATCAGGGGCAATGTTTGTACATTGCAATTACATGGCAATGTGCCCAAGGGTAGGAAAATAACAAGCTTTAAGTTCATACTTGATCAAGGAATGATAGCAGAATTTACACAGGCTTTGAAAAACAATGAATAGTAAAATATGCTCTAAAAGTTTAGATTATTTACAACCCTTAAGGTTAAGAAACTATCAACAGTATGGTAATGAGTACTCCAGTATAGAGGTGAGTGGTGCAATCTTTCAATGTGTCCCGGGAAGATAAATAAAATGCAAGCCATATGCTTATCGACCTAATGCCCTTCATCTTCTCAACTTCTCAGGAAAACCGTAACAAATTGAGTAAACAGAAATATCCAATGGTGATAAGGAAAAAATGGTATGGAATAAAAAAGAAAAGAGGAAATAGAAAAAAATGGAAGGCTGGGAAATTGAAATGGAAGGACCTAATTGTGGGAGAAACCCATAACCAATTGATTGTGAAGGGGAAGGTAGAAATCTAGAAGAAGAGTAAGTCAGAGAAAGGCCGACAGTGTAAAAGGCAGGGAATTTTAAGGAAACAAAGTACTGGTCATTTAAAGAGGATTGAGAATAATGGTTTTAGAATATTTACCAATACATTCCATTGGTCTTTCTGAAAAACAAAATGAGGAGATCAATGTAAATATCAGGATGAAGAAAGAGACAAGAAAGAAAAGAGTAAAGGAACCATCTGTTCAAAATTGTGCACGTAGCAGCAATCATACAAAGCCATTTATACATATTAAATTGATAAATTCCTGAAATGTAGTCCCTTTAAAATTAAAATGATCATGAAAATAATGGCATTCCCAAGAATGTGTTAAAGCTCTAACACTTATAGTTGTGTAGTAGAAAAAAATCTTGTAGATCATTCCAAGGTAATTGATTTCCCAGACTTTCAGGGGGAATTTTGAATCTTGAGAAATATATAATCAGTGAACATTCCAATTGATATAAGATGCTCCATCACATATTAACAAAGATTGCAGTTTAGTAGTATTAAAATTGGGTTAATCAAAAAGCAAAAGGAAAAACACAGGTGATGTGGTTGTATATAAAATTATTCCCTTGTAAATATTTGTATACTTGTGAGTATATAGGTAATGTGTACAAAGGCAATGGAAGAATAAGCTATGTGCACAATCGACCAATTAATGATATTTTTATTCTAAATATGTCTATTTCAGTGTAGATAAACACACACATGGCACACAGACACTCACATATAAAGTGAATGGGAATTCACTTATATCCAGAGAGTATTGTTTCCCCCCCTTCTAAAAGTTATTAAATTTATTTCCTGAATTTAAAATATTGGAATATATATTGTGATGGTTACCTTTCAAAAATGTTCTTAGTCTATTGTTACATTACTTGAGCTATTATCATTTGGTTTGCTAGCTAAAACAAATTGTCTGTTAAGAAATATGTATAAACAACTTTCATTAGTGCTTAAATATATACTTCTTAATTAAATCACATGAAATGAAAAGATTTAAATATCAAGTGAAGGTGAATGTGGATATAAATGGAAAGACTGATCATATGTTGAAGCAGATGGACACTTTAGAAACTTTGCAAATGCCCATCCTTTAGAGACAGATCAGTAATAAAATTTAGTTGACACAAATGTTTGCATCAACAGGAGAAATCACAGAAATAAAATCAAGTAAATTGAATGAATAATGAAGAAGGAGACTTCAGTGGAAAGATTAACAGGACAGATTGATATTGTATTTTACCCAGTTCTGAAGGCTGGATAATATAGTCATGCCCAAAAAGTCTGGGTGGCATAGGGAAGATCTGACAGTCACAGCTGGAAATAAATCATTGGCCAGAATAGGCGTGGCCACTGCAGCTCAGGAATATTTTATATTTCAGCTCCTTAACAAATGAGTTCCTATCTCTTCTCCTGTACTCTTGCTGCTCACACCTGACTCCTGGCATATGGGGCGCTCACACTTCGCAGTCGCCCACATGGCCCACAGCCATGAAGACCACACATGCAATGGACTGATAGACTGGAGCTAGCCTGATGCTACATCGGACCCAGCTCCACCATGGAAGGGAAACTCTGAGCTCTGGCTTTGCTTTTAGCTCTGCTGAATCCCCAGCTGCACCTTTTCCAGGACTGGCCTAAGGGAAGTGGGACTAATTCCATCCAAATAAAGCTTTCTACTACATCTGCTTTTCCCACTGGGGACTCCAGAGCTGCTTATTCCAGTGGCACCAAGAGCCCCACTCTCACTAGCAAAGGAGAAAGGCAATCCGCCCAATTCTCTGATGACAAAATCGTATACATGGACTGTATAGTGGTTCTGAGGAAGATGTTAAGAGTTGAAGACAAAGATAGAAGAAATAATGAAACCGTGGCTGGTACACAGTAAAATGTTTATAGGCAAACCTTTCTCCTCTTCCCACTAATGGAAAAATAAAAGGGAGAAAACACCAAATCATTCCAAATGAGAGTACAGTGTCAGGAAGGAAGAAGAACAAAAATCTGAAACAATTCTTAGTGCTCTATGGGGTTCAAAATGACACATATTTATGAGAATTGAAACCATATGGTACAAAGTTTACCTCAGCAATCATAGTTTATGTAGTTTTGCCTATATACACACTTTGGTGCCAAAGGACCCAAGATTCAAAATGACACCATGAGAGGAGGTAGATAGGAATTCCTCTGGGTTAAACAACATCTCTCATTGGGCTTTCATTGGCCCTTCACCGTTTTCAGAATAAAATACAAACATGTGCATATATCCAAGATAGACACTTAAAAGTGTTGAGGAAACACATAGGAAAGGACCCATCTTTGCAAATGTGTTATTGTAGTAGTAGCCATTTGTAGCCTAATACAAACTGTGAGGATTTATTGATAAATTCCATTTCCCCTAAAAACAAAAATGTAATTAGAATATATCACTAGAATAGATTTGGTAAAACTATAAATTTCTAATTAGTGTTTTATTAAAAATTCCTTCAGGATTATGGTAGGATAAGTTCTTCTTATATCACTAACATAAAATTTCACAGTTGAGAAATAGATTATCAATGACCTTCCCTTAAGTTGTGAAGTCATTCTAAAAGCATTAAGAAGAATTCCAATGAACATAGTTAATAATTGTGTCAATGAAAATGACCAAAAAAAGAGAAAAAATGAAGAAAGAAAATTATTGTGATAGAAAGAAAAAATGGCCAAAAGTATTGTATAAATTTTTGTATATTTGGGAAGAATTGAATAATATGATCAAATAGAATAAAAGAGTTTACATGAAAATACATACTACACCAAGAAATAACATCTGAATTTACATAGATTTTGAAATAACAATAAAGAAAGTGTCCCCTTGAACTTCAAAGGATGTCACAGCTGAATTTCAGAAAACATTCATACAATTAAAGACATTCGACTTCAATTTAATCCCCTTCATCACTACAAAATTAATAATGAAACTATGACAAATCTACAGATATATAAGAAGCTAATGTTTACCGTAAAGAAGGAATGGGAAAGGATGAAATATCAGGCAAAAGAAATGGAGATATTCACATGGGTGAAGACCAAATCCAAAATATTGGAGAGAGAAGGGAAGAAGGGTAAGCCTGTGGATGGCCTCTAGATAAAAGGCAGGGATGTTGGCAGGTACTTAAAGAGTTATAGGAGTGAAGGGTAGTGATATTTACCAAATTTTTTCCGAAGATCACCTGCAAAATATAAAGGAAAGATCCATGTAAATGCCAAGGAAACAAAAACAAAGAAAATTAAATTTTATTCAAAAGTTTACATTTAAAATTAAAATGATTAGAATGCAGATCAACATGTGCACACATGTTATGGGAAGGAGCATGTGCACACACACGGTGTCTGTATGGTCACTTTTGTCAAGAATATGAGAGAAAAGTAAAGAGGGGATAAAATGAGTCATTTTAGTTCATGAGAAATAAATTTAAAAATATTAGGTCTCAATAATTTTTGAGGTTTTCATTATTCAGTTGGTAAGATTAAGTAGGTTCTGTGATTGTTGCTAAATATATATATATTCAGTCAATTCAGGTATCAGAGTAGCAAATTTGTATAAATTAGACAAAGTCACCGAGTTAAAGTATATACAACCATTTATTTTCTGGAGGTTATACATAGTTATACACTGGGCATCAGCTTTGACATCAATTTCAAACAATGTACATAATCTTGTTTTATTTTGGTTTCCACTGCAACCCCTGCCTATACTTAAGCTTTTATTAATTAAATCCAATGGAAAGAAGAAAAGCAATGTATTAAACGTCTCTGAAGTGACTTCTAAGTTGCAGGATTTGAGCATGTCTTGGACAAAACTGACATATCAGCCACACTGAAAACGCCAGTACTTCAAAGGTATGTGAATAATAACCTTTGTCACAAAGGACATATTCGCATAGGTTTCAATAACTGCATGAATCAAAGAAAAAATAAGGGATCTATTTTTGTTCATTAGTTTATTTCATTCATTAAATCCTATATATGAGTGAAGTCATGCGATACTTGTCTTTCTCTGACTGACTTATTTTGCTTAGCATGATACTCTCCATGTCCCTTCATACTGTCTCAAAGGGTAAGAGATCCTTTTTTGCAGCTGAATAGAATTCCATGCTATAAGTGTACCATGGTCTTTTTATCCACTCATCTACTGAGGGCACTTGGGCTGTTTCCAGATTTTAGCCATTGTTAATTGCGCTGCTATGAGCATAGGGGTGCATGCATTCTTTCTGATTGGTGTTTTGGATTTCTTAAGATATAGTCCTAGAAATGGGATCACTGGGTAAATGGCAGTTCCATATTAAGTTGTTGAGGAAACTCCATAATGTTTTTCATAGTGGCTGCACCAGTCTGCATTCCTACTAGGTTTCTGTTTTTCAACATTCCCACTAGCACTTGTCATTTGTTGATTTGCTTATGATAGCCAATCTGACAGGTATGAGGTGACAGCTCCTTGTCATTTTAATTTGCATCTTTCTGATGACTAGTGCCTTTGAGCATTTTTTTTCATATATCTCCTGTCCATGTGTATGTCAACTTTGGTGAAGTGTCTACGTAAACTGATAAAATGGATCTAGAGACGTAGACGCATGGAACAGACTGATGAATCTCAGAAGGAAGGCAGGGATAGGTGGGTGGGGAGAGATTTACCAGGGAATTTATATGTATATATGCATAGCCCAGGGTCACAGACAATAGTGTGGTGAAGTCTTGGGATAGGTGAGTGTGGGGTGGAGGGGATCAATGGGCAAATAAAAGGAGAACATCTGGAATACTTTCAACAATAAAGATAAACTGAGTTGAGGAAGATGGACATTGAGCCATTGATTTATCATTGAAGACCAAGGTATATGTAACAGAGGAAACCATGACTAGGTACAGAGGGAAATACATCAACAAGAGTTGTCGTTTTCTTCCTCATGTTTATTGATTAAATAAAATAAATAAAGAAAAAAATTCATTCTAAGTGGGTGTAAAACGTCAAAAAGGGAGGAAGACAAAAATTTCAATAATACTTCAATATTTTTTTCTGGGGTCCTAACTGATAACACGTTTTTGAGACTGGAACCACAAGGCCCCTCACCAATC